TAGGATGTTTTTATCTGAATTTATTCAACTGATGACATAGTCTTACTGAGGACTAGCTAAGCTTTAATCAAAGCCATTTATGGCTTTTTTAAAAAGAAAGTCTTGTAAGTTAATTCACACATTCCCCCTTGAACCACAAGGTGCATTTAATGTTCTGAACTCATCTGGATGAAATACTCATGAGTTGTTTAAAAAGCAATGTGTTCATCAGAATTAAACCTTGCTGTTGCAAAAAACATTTTTCAACACAGAGGTTAGTTAAGTCATGGTGCTGTTGTCCTTGCTGCTGCTGCTGCTACATAACATTAGCATGTTCTAAATGGATTTTGTTGCTTTATAATTGTGCCTTTATTGGCGAAAAACACTGCAGAATGTACGTCAAATGGTGTACAATAACTGTACCAATGTTTCTATAGTATATATGCTGCATGTGTGTTAATATTGATATATATATTTACATATTTTAAACACACAATGTATCAAATTGTTTGTCTTTTTTGAGACTTCCACTCAAAAAAATGGTTTATGTGGTTCTCTTAAACCAGTATGTTCTACAACTGTTTCAAATGAGTTGGCAACACAAATAATAGGTGAAATTTTTCATTTGCAGTCACTGAGTTTGTATTGTTTGTGACCAATTGACTAATGAAGCTTGCAGATAAGTTAAGTTTGCACGACCAGTTGTTGAAAATCATGGATTATTTCATGTGCACTGCTTGAGAAATTGTAAACAATTTTTTTAAGCTGTACACATTTTTGTTACCATCTGTGCTCACAATGTACCTGCTTCTGCCTGCTTTGTACCCAGCTTGGTAGCTGTCTCCACATTTGGGATTTAAACTATGAGAGGTATTGTTTTTCTTTTGGCTTCAGGGGTTGACATAGTGAGCAAACTGGCATGATAGATTTGGCATTTGTTTCGTGCTGGATGTCTTTCCTGATAAAACCTGAGTTTCAACCTGCAGCTTCAGGTTTACAAAACTGCAGCATAGAGTCCACCAAGCAACTACATCCCATATAAACTACAGGAATGCATCTTTTAAATGCAGATTTCAACCATTTAAAACTGTATCATCAGTGTGTTTTATAGATCTGGACATTCAAGATCATAGCCTTGGATGTTTTCTTTCCAAGGACAGCTCCAGTACAGGTGTCAAAATGAAACTCTAGCCCTCTAGAATTACAGAATCTAAAATAAGAAGTATGTGAGGAGCTTGCAACAAAATCCATAAGAGTTCAAGATGCCTATCATCACTCTGATTATTTTGAGAAAAAAGAACTGATCGCAAAAGTGTTTTAACATGTTCAAAATTCAAGTGACAAGAGTGCACTTCATGCAAGAAAACTTAAAGCATCCACAAAGTGTTTCCCACAGTACCCTCACAAATGCATCCCAGTGAGATCAGTCCACTGAGAACTTAAATGTATTGTTTACTCAGAACTACATCTTTGTGTGCAGAGCTCTTACTTTGCCAAACTGACACATAACTGCTCTGCCAGTTTCTCCAGTAACATCATTAGGTTTCCTGAAGACACTGTTGTTTTAGGCCTTCTTATCAATAATGATGAAAACAGGTAAAGCTCCAGGCAACCTGCTGCACACCACATAACCATGCCCTCATCACCACCACAACCGAAGAGATGGTACTATACTTCAAAATCTCTGACCACCCACACCGTCTCCTACTTTTCTTACTTCTAGCATACTAGCAACTACTCAACAACCTAGTGCCATCTCATATTGCAGATCTTATTGTTCCATATTTCCTAACAGAGCACTTTGCTCTCAGACTGCAGGCTTACTTGTGATTCCTAGAGTTTCCAAAAGCAGAATGGAAGATAGACCTTTCAGTTATCAGGATCCTGTCTTGTGGAACCAACTTCCAGTTTCTGTCTGTGAGTCTGACACTGTCTACTTTTAAGATTAGGCTTAAGACTTTCTTTTTGATAAATCCTATAGTTAGGGTTGGCTTGTTATGCTGCTATAGGCTTAGACTATTGGAGGACAAACTGACCACATTTCCTCACTCTGCTGCTGTCTTTACTTGCTCTAATCTACCTGTTTGTATTTGTAATTATTTCTATCTTAACAGGTTTTTTTTTATCTTTCCTCCTATAGAAAGTACATCTGAACTTGTCATTCTGTGTTTGTCTGTTTCTACTTCCATCCATGCATCAATTTTCTTCCACTTATCTGGGGTCGGGTCGCGGGGGTAGCCGCTTAAGTAGGGAGGCCCAGACTTCCCTCTCCCCAGCCACTTGGGCCAGCTCCTCCGGGGGAATCCCGAGGCGTTCCCAGGCCAGCCGAGAAACATAATCCCTCCAGTGTGTCCTTGGTCTTCCTCTGGGTCTCCTCCTGGTGGGATGTGTCCGGAAAACCTCACCAGGGAGGCGTCCAGGGGGCATCCTAACCAGATGCCCGAGCCACCTCAACTGGTTTCTCTCGACGTGGAGAAGCAGCGGCTCTACTCTGAGTCCCTCCCGGATGACTGAGCTTCTCACCCTATCTCTAAGGGAGAGCCCAGACACCCTGCAGAAAAAACTCATTTCGGCCGCTTGTATCCGAGATCTCATTCTTTTGGTCACAACCCAAAGCTCATGACCATAGATGAGGGTGGGAACGTAGATCGATTGGTAAATTGAGAGCATCGCCTTTTGACTCAGCTCTCTCTTCACCACGACAGACTTGTACAGCACCCGCTTCACTGCAGATGCTGCACCTATCCGCCTATCGAGCTCACGTTCCATTTTCTTTCATTCGTGAACAAGACCCCAAGATACTTGAACTCCTCCACTTGGGGCAGGACCTCTTTCCTGACCCGGAGAAGGCACTCTACCCTTTTCCGGCTCAAGACCATGGCCTCAGATTTGGCGGAACTGATCTTCATCCTGGCCGTGTCGCACTCGGCTGTGAACTGCTCCAGCAAAAGTTGTAGATCACGATCTGATGAAGCCAGTAGGACCACTTCACCTGCAAAAAGCAGAGACGCAATCCTAAGGCCACCAAAATGGATCCGCTCAACACCTTGGCTGCGCCTAGAAATTCTGTCCATAAAAGTGATTAACAGAATCAGTGACAAAGGGCAACCTTGGTGGTGTCCAACTCTCACAGAGAACAAGCACGACTTACTGCCGGCAATGCGGACCAGGCTCTGACACCGGTCATACAGGGACCTAACAGCCCATATCAAAGGGCCCGGTACCCCATTCTCCCAGAGTACCCCCCACAGGCTTCCCTGAGGGACGCGGTCGAACGCCTTCTCCAAGTCCACAAAGCACATGTAGACTGGTTGGGCAAACTCCCACACACCCTCCAGGACCCTGCTGAGAGTGTAGAGCTGGTCTAGTGTTCTACGACCAGGATGAAAACCGCACTGCTCCTCCTGAATCCGAGGGTCGACTATCCGACGGACCCTCCTCTCCAGAACCCCTGAATAGACCTTACCAGGGAAGCTTAAGAGCGTAATCCCCCTGTAGTTGGAACACACTCTACGGTCCCCTTTTTGAATAAGGGGACCACCACCCCGGTCTGCCAATCCAGGGGAACTTCCCCCGATGTCCACGCAATATTGCAGAGTCGCGTAAGCCAACACAACCCTACAACATCCAGAGTCTTAAGGAACTCTGGGCGAATCTCAGCCACCCCTGGGGCCCTGCCATCGAGGAGCTTTTTAACCACCTCGGTGACCTCAGCACCAGAGATTGGAGCGCTTGACCCAAGGTCCCCAGGCTCTGCTTCCTCAGTGGAAGACGTGCCGGTGGGATTGAGGAGGTCTTCAAAGTATTCTGCCCACCTACCCATGACATCCCAAGTTGAGGTCAGCAGCACACCACCCCCACTCTAAACGGTGTTGGTGGTGTACCGCTTCCCCCCTGAGACGCCGGATGGTGGACCAGAATCGCCTCGAAGCCATGCGTAAGTCATTCTCCATGGCCTCTCCAAACTCCTCCCATGCCCGAGTTTTTGACTCAGCAACCACCCGAGCCACATGTTTCTACTTCCTGTCGTCTCAAACCCAGCCGGTTGAAGCAGATGGCCGCTTGTCCTGAGCCTGGTTCTGCTGGAGGTTTCTTCCTGTCAAAAGGGAGTTTTTCCTTCCCACTGTCTCCTTTGTCCTTGCTCAGGATGGGAGACTGTGATGAAGTGAATATTCAACACAATCTGCTGCTTCTTTAGATAGAAAACTTTACTAATTGTATTTTATAAACTATGTGAATGTTTCTGTTCAGTGCCCTGAAACGGCATCTGTTGGTGCTATAGAAATAAACTGAATTGAATTGACCATCAGTAACTCAGAGATGGACAGTGTTAGCACCAAGCTCTGGTTCCATATTTTGAAGTAGATGAACCAATGATGTCTCAACGCAACAACTGGTAGACATCTACACAGAACATTGTGTTCACGTAGCAGATGGCATTTTAAAATACATCACACACCTCTCTCATGGCTTTTTCACTCAGAGCTCATCTGTAAAACAATACGAAAGCCTGAGAACAAAGAGTACTCACTCAGCTGTTAAACATAATTTTCAAGCAATCAGACTGTTGGAGCAAAGAATTGAAAAGGTTCCATCTGATCTGTTGGACAAAGTGTTTACTACAGGACATACTCACAATCCAGCGTTTTACTTTCCACACTTTTGCCCAGTCTCTGCATGAAATGGACTTTCTCATCTGATTTGATATGTTGGAGTGTAATAATTGTTGTCGGTGGCAGCGTGCACGCTTTCAGGCATCGTTCCACCATCTAACACGCTCCTGTTGCTAAAACCCTTTGAGCTTTTTCTAACCTTTATTTCAGAAACACTCTATTCAGAGCAGACCCTTAAGTTGAAAAAATGTACTCATCATATGAGCACAACTGCATCATTTCATGCCTTTAAAACAGCCTGATGGAAACTTTATCTGCATAATAAAGTAACAATGGGCACTGAGTTTATGATGTGTTCATTTATGTTGGCATCACTGAGTCTTCTTTATTTTTCTCTTTTTCACACAGATAAACTTGAGAATGGCGACATCTACCAGAGGAGACGAGGACCTCCTGTGGGCCACTCTGATGGACACGAAGTAGAAAATAAACACCATGAAGAGGTTAGCCAGGCGAGAAGCAGCTGGCGTCGGATTCTGCTTCTCATCTTAGCCATCACCATCCATAACATCCCAGGTGAGAGTAGGGCACAGCACAGGGAATAAAGGTTTACCATATGGTAATTGTTTGCATGTTTTCTCATGTCATTCTTACATACGGCATGGCTTGATTTAAAAATAAGTGGTTGTAGATAACCATACCGCTTAAAAGCAGCAACGAGGCCGACCAAAGTTCTGTACAACAAAAACAAACCAACAAAGAAGAAGATTGTTCATTAATCATTTGTAAAAGTTTGAAAGCATTTATTTTCAATTCAATTAAATTCAGTTTATTTCTGTAGCTCCAAGTCACAACAGAAGTTGTCTCAGGGCACTGAACAGAAATATTCATATACATAAAAAAAATCTATTAGTAACATTATCTATCTAAGGAAGCAGCAGACTGTGTTGATTCTTCACTTCATCACAGTCTCCCATCCTGAGCAAGGACAAAGGAGACAGTGGGAAGGAAAATTTCCCTTTAAACAGGTAGAGTAGAACAAGTAAAGTCAGTCAAAGTCAGAGAGAGTCAGAGAATCTTTATTGTCGTTCCACCTCATGTGGTACATGTGGTGGAGCGAAATTATGTACACAGGGTCCCAGTTACATCCAACAATAAAATGTATAAGAAAAACAGTAATAAGATATAAGATATGAACTAAGAAAAACATAACCTAAATATACACTAAGCACTAATAGCATAAAACATTACGTCCAACATCAGCACAAACATGAACATGAGTCTGTGAGCAGATAAGCACGCATGAACACATCAACATGATACAGATCAGCAGCAACATGAAACAGATCAGCAGCAACATGATGTGATTTTTCACAGTGATTATTCTGAGTAGATATTCATGAGTCTTAACAGCCTCAGGGTAGAAGCTGTTCCTCAGTCTAGTGGTTCTACACTTAATGCTCCTCAACCTCCTTCCTGAGGGGAGCGGGGCAAAAAGTGTGTGTGCTGGGTGAGTGGGGTTCTTCATGATGCAGGTGGCTCTCTTCCTTCATCTGAAGGTGTAGATGTCTGTGATGGTGGGGAGACTGACTCTAACAAACATATGTGCAGCCTTCACCACTCTCTGCAAAGCTTTTCTTTCTGCAGCTGTGCAGCCTCTATGCCACACGTTTTTGTTTTTTTTTCCCCCTTGTCCTTTCCGGCATTGTTAAAAAAAAAAAAAAAAAAAACTGTAGTATGAGTTTTTATAACTGCTTATTGTTGTTGCTGTTGTCCATTGTTGTCATCTTTCTTTGTTGAAATCAGGTCTCTCTTGTAAATGAGTCCTCGAGGCTCAATGGGATTTACCTGTATAAATAAAGGTTGATTGATTGTGACACTTAGATTTATCGTCTGAGTGTCAAAGTGATGCCCAACAGATTTACTTTCACAAGCAGAGCATTATGGCTGTCCTTAATGCTCCACTTGATATATAAATTAAATTTTATTAGAATATGCTTTGGGTTTATGGACACGGGGACGGAAAACAAAGAAGATAACAAAGCAGAAAAGTGATAGAAGAGTTAAAATGTAAAGAAGGAGATAGGAATAGAGGAGAGAGAGATAAAGAGAACACAAATCAACATCATTGAAGTCTGCCTCTAGACCTGCAGAAAGAAAAAGAAAAAACGACAAAACCGAGAAACCACAACAACAAACAACTTATATAATGATACTTATAACATCATTAGAAAGTATTTTATACAGTACGTGGTAATACAATATATATTTGATGTCCACCACAACCCAATTGAGTGTGTATCTGATAAACACCTGAATCTAAACACCTGTGTGAGCATGCTTATCACTAAAAGGTTTCTCCATAAAAATGTTCAAAAGTGGATGTGGGGACCCATAAACCCGTCCCCACAGTAACACAGGGAAGACCAGAACCACAGACACACAGCGGTCCTCAAGCCCGGAACTCCAGGAGTCCCCCAACAGGGACACCCACACCCCCCAGAGAGAGAAGCAAAGGGAAGCTCCGGGCGATCCCCAGCAACCACAATGCAGAAACCCCAGGAGGCCGTAGCGACGAGTCAACAGGCCCCGCCAGCAACCCGCCCCTCCAGAGTGGATCTGGCCATGGACACCAAGCCCCAAGTCCCGAGGTCATACCACCCCCAAACAGAGGCCCGACAGAGCCAGGGCACCCAGGCCCCCACAGGCAGCCACCAGGGTGGGCCTGCACACACCCCACCACCCAGCCCCAGCTGCTGAGAGCCACCAATGCACCGGCGGCAGGGGGGTCCACCAACGGAGGGGAGCACGACACACCAAATGGGGGGCCAAAACTGATCCAAGAGAGGGGGCCACCCAAAACCCAACCTGAGACAAACAGGCACACAGAGACAGCCCGATAGAGCCTCTGTCGGGACGTCCATGCGCCCCACCCGCCCAAAAGTGACCGCAAGCCGGCCCCAGGCCGGGGGCCAGAGCAGCAGGTAGCAGCAGCTGAGGAAGGCTGGCCCAGCGCACCAATGCATCCCTAAAGCCCCACACCACAGGCCCGGAGAAGCCCCGGCATGCCACCCATGCCCCCCCCCCCCCCCCACACACACACACACACACAGCACCCCACACCGTGAATGTCACATCAGGCCGACCAGCCAGCACCCCGTCGAAGTGAAGCCACGCCCCGACCGCCGCCATGCACTACCAATGACCGCACACACACAACCACAGCCGACCTCCCGCCAGAACCCGGCAGCCACCCCAGCCAAAGGGCTGGCCATCGGAACCAGGAACCCTGATCAAAAGATCCAAACAATCCACGGAGAACCAGAGCACTAGCCCCCCAACCCCCCCGCCGCCGCCGCCGCCCCCTACCCCAAATGTCAGACGGAGTATGAGGGTTTAAGGAAAACTGGAAGACCCAACTCCTCCCTCCCCCCACTCAAATAAGATGTTGATGCATGTTGTTATATAGTGCGTTTAAAATGGGGGGGATGAGGCGGCGACTGGCACAGACCCACCCCCTCCCCAGAGAGCAGGCAGTGCCCGTTCACTTCCCCAATGTTTGCCCAGAACCCTAAATGTCTACATGCAATCAAAGGGGTTTACCCACCTCCACTACGGGTTGGAGCCAATCAAAGAAGCCCAGAGAGATTGTTCTGATGTGGAGGTACAGGCTATCTCAAGACTGATGTAATCCAACAAAAGGTCTTTATCCATGCCACACGTTGATACTGGAGCACAGGATGCTCTCCACTGCACACCTGTAGAAGGAGGTGAGGACTGAGCCTCCCAGACAAGCTCGTCTCAGCCGTCTGAGGAAGTAGAGTCTCTGATGAGCTTTCTTGATCAAGCTGGTAGTGTTGTTGCTCCAGCTAAGGTTGTCATTCATGTTTACACCCAAGTACTTGTAGCTGGAGACCACTTCCACTTCAGATCCTCTTATCTTCAGGGGTGTGTAGGTGTGTTTGTTACTTCTGAAGTCCACAATCATCTCCTTTGTCTTCTTCACATTGATTTGAAGGTTATTCTCTTTGCACCAGCTCTCCAGGTGTTCCACCTCTTGCCTGTAGCTGGACTCATCATTGTTTGTGATGCATCCCACCACCACTGTATCATCTGCAAACTTTACAATGTGACAGCCTGGATGGGTAGCTGCACAATCATACGTGAACAGAGTAAACAGGAGGGGGCTCAACACACATCCCTGAGGAGAGCCAGTGCTGAGGGTTATGGTGGAGAAGGAGAAGTTGTGGATCCTCACTAACTGTGGTCTGTTTGTTAAGAAGTCTAGTACCCAGTTGCAAATGGAGGGGCTTAGTCCTAGTGTGAATAGTTTGTCCATCAGGGTTTTGGGGGATGAAGGTGTTGAAGGCAGACGTGAAATCCACAAAGAGCATACGGACATAAGAGATTTCTGCTCCAGGTGGTTGAGTGCATTGTGGACCACAGAAAAGATGGTGTCCTCTGTTGATCGGTTCTCACGGTATGCGTACTGATGAGGGTCCTCGTTGATGTTGATGGTTGTTTTGATGTGAGTCATGACCAGTTTTTCGAAGCATTTAGCGACTATCGGGGTGAGGGCCACTGGCCGATAGTCATTCAGACCAGTCTCTGTAGAGTTTTTTGGGACTGGGATGATGGTGGCAGTCTTCAGGCAGGTGGGAACTGTCTCCAGGGTAAGTGAGGTGTTAAAGATGTCTGCCAGCACCTCGCAGAGCTGATCGGCACATTCTTTCAACACTTTTCCGGGGATGTTGTCTGGGCCGGTTGCCTTGTGCGGATTAATCCTCCTGAAAGTACTCCTTACTTTGGCTGAGGTCATGCTGAGATGCTCTTTATCCAGTGGTGAGGTGAGTCTGGTGCTGGGTGGTTTGTTTGGGTCTTCAAAGCGTGCATAGAACTTGTTGAGGGCATCAGACAGAGATGGGTCTTTGGGGCATTGTTTACTTCTTCCTTTATAATCTGTTATGCATCTAATGCCCCTCCACATGCTCCCGAGGGTCTTGTGAGATGAATTGACCCTTGATCCTCTGTGCATATGTGGCCTAAAGACAGCAGCAGAGAGAGGAAATGTGGTCAGTTTGTCCTCCAGCAGCCTAAGCCTATAGCAGCAGAACTAAGGGATAGCTCAGGAAACCCCAAGCCAACCCTAACTATAGGATTTATCAAAAAGGAAAGTCTTAAACCCAATCTCAAAAGTAGACAATGTGTCAGCCTCACAGACAGAAACTGGAAGTTGGTTCCACAAGAGAGGAGCCTGACAAAAACTCTGCCTCCCATTCTGCGTTTGGAAACTTTAGGAACCACAAGTAAATGTGCAGTCTGAGAGCAAAGTGCTCTGTTAGGAAAATATGGAACAATAAGGTCTGTAATATAAGATAGAGCTAGGTTGTTGAGGGTTTTGTAGGTTAGAAGTAAGATTTTGAATTTATTTCTGAATTTGACAGGGAGCCAATGAAACGAAGCTAAAACTGGAGAGATATAATCTCTCCCACTAACTCCAGTTAAGACTCTGTCGCAGCAGCATTATGGATCAGCTAAAAAAAATTTTTACACCCAGATATTAAGGAACTGCCATA